TCTGTTCTGGTCGCGTCACGAGGTGAGCCCCTACGTTCCGAAAGCCCGGATCTGTTATTCATGCTTCTGAGCGGGGCATGTCAGTTCATCTTGCCGAAGTTCGCCCAGATGTATCTATTGCGGCAATGCTCCGCATGACGAAGGCTCCGACTGCCCACTCAAATGCAACACACCAAGATGCATAAACCGCTCAGGTGAGCATCTCCCGACATCTCCCACCTGCCCCACACTCCTCGCTCAAAAGAGAATGCTCATGATAGCGGCAAAAAACAATATTCCTCTAATCGAAGCGAAAAAAAGAGTCGCTAGTCTCGGCTCCGAACCTACAGGTAATAGCGCTGGCTCTCCATCTAATTCTTTATCGTCTTCAAGTAATAATAACCTCTTTACTTCTCGAAATAGGTTTGACATTCTAAATAATTACTCGCATAATTCCTCTTCAGATAGTTACGTCTCTTATGCAAGAGTGGTTTCTGGCGCCCCTCGACGCCAGCAGACACAGCGCAATAATTCTTCGCACAACCCTTCGTCGGGCGACCAAAACTTTGTGAAACGGCCCCCTTCGCGTCATAACTTGATAGGCCAGGAATTTTTGACAGCGCCAAACGGTCGTACCCCTTCTTATCTGGAAAATGGAGCGATTTTCTCACAGGCATCTATGCCTGAATCCACCGACCATAACGGTGCTCCTACACTCGACGCGGGGAGTTCTAGTTCTGATTTGGGACTTATTGCCGAGCTTTTAAAAGCATTCGGGGTCAGTGGCGCTTCAGATATATTAGCCACCTTACAACAGGTTGTATCCCTTTTCAAATTAATATCTCCTGCAATTAGCAAAATCAAAGAAATTCTGGAACTCTTTAGCACTCCGCCTCCGCAACATTCGGCTTTTCACCCCATTTCCCCGCAAGGCTATATGCCGCGGGGACCGCTTACTACCCTTATCCTTAATTCCCTCCCCCATCCTCCATTCCCTTTCCCCTTCCCTCTCCCCCTCCCTCCTTCTTCCCCCCGACCCTTACTCATCCTCCTCCTCTCCCTTCCCCACCCTCCCTTCCCTCTTCTTTCCATTCGCGCAAGCTGATCCATATTCTATCCTGGAATTGTCGCGGTCTTCGAGGCAAGATTCAGGAGATCCAAAATTTTGTTAGCTCTTTCGACATTCTCTGTATTCAGGAAACTCTTTTAAACCCTCTCTCCTCAGTAAACTTGAAAGGTTGTCAAATTCTAAGAAGGGATAGGCGCGCTCAAGGCGAATGCGGCATTTGCATTATCATCAAAGATTCTCTTAAAGTTACGCAAGTGACTGACAATTTGAACTTGCACAGTTCTTTGGAGGTAATGGGAATAAAAATAGAATGTCTCGGAGAGCCAATCGTCTTATTTAACATATACCGACACCCCAATCACTCCACCCCCCCTCAAGCTCTATCTTCTTTATTTGACTACTTCAAGTCGCACAAAAATATTATCATTGTGGGAGACTTAAATGCATATCACGCTTCATGGGGATGTGACAGAACTGACGCGGTGGGTACCGCCTTGGTTGGACTTGTAGAAAATTCGGACGCCATCGTGCTCAATGATGAAAACCCAACGCTCCTTACCCCTCCGGGCTTCTCTCGTTCAATCATAGATCTCATTATTGCCTCAGCTACTCTTGCACCCATGTGCTCGTTTGCTTGTTTGCCGGACACCGCTGGCAGCGATCATTTTCCGATATCGGTTAAGCTGGGATGTAACCCCTCGCCCAAGAGAAGATTTTTGTATAAGATCAGATTAAACAAATCCTTAAAAGAACAACTGTATCTCCAGCTTTGCAGGGACTCTGACTCTCTCTCTGTTATATCCAACGGGACTGGAATTGAGAATTATGCTGACTTTGTCAGCTTAATAAAAAATCATATCTCGGCTCTCTTCCCAGAGAAAGACATTCATCCGCGCTCAATACTTGTCAGAAAACACAAATCCCCTCCGATATGGTGGGATGATGAGTGTCAATCGTTGATAGAGGACAGGAAGGAGGCTATGCTTGATTTTAAAACCAACTCCGACACAAGCAACTTTCTTAAATACAAA